GAACCTTTGCTCTTGCCACAGGGGTAACGAGTGTCTGTAATACAACAGGGCCCTAAATCTCATGCAGGATTTTTATGCTACTTTGGTAACACTCATGCATCAACTACTTACCTTGTTTTGTAAAGCAACCATGATGCATCTGAAACAATGGAAAAGTGTCACCATGTCAGACCAGCCTCACAGAAAGGCTTTCTGTATTTACAGTGGTTTACGAAAGTTCTGCATATACCATGGACCAAAACAAAACTCAGCTCTTAGCAAAATGTCTTCTCCAATAATTTCTGCTTTCAAGTAGACAGCAGAGCCATGGATTTTTTGTTTGTTTTTTTGGGTTTTGTTTGGTTGGTTGGTCGGTCTTTATTGCAGGAGTGTTTTTTAAGATATATTTTTTCTTTTTTTCTGACTGCTCATGCAAAGGAAAGAAAAAATGTTTTATGTCCTTTCATTGCTGAGGCTTTGTATGTGTGATCAATACCTTCACAGTGAACCAAAGAAATGGGAGACTAAAGTTATCCCTTAGGTACTTATTTCAACTAGACATGGGAAAGGCTGTACAGCCATACTTGGAAAGCAGTGAGTCCCTTGGACTCATTTTACTGAGATTCCTTGTGAGCCTGTCCAAGCCTGCTTGAAGAGATTCCCAGTTCCTCAGCTCTGCCAGCAAAGGATTGCTTCCAGAGATTATCCCCTCCCTGATACCAATGCTCCACACCCAGAAGGACTAGTAAATACAACTCATCTTGCCTATTAAATCCAAACACCACAGAAGAACTTGAGCTCTTCTACTTGGATCTACACAGGCATCTTTGGGGGAGAAGGTGGAGGGAAGGGAAGGAGAAAAAGGTAATCCATTCTAAAACAAACATTTCAAACAATATTTAGCCTGTGGACTAAACATCCTGCAAACCCCAGGACAGACTGGGGAATTAGGGGATGGAAACAAACAGTTGACTTGAACAAACCTGTGAAGCAGCAGTCCTTACCTCTGTTCAGAAGACCTTTATATGATTCTCCTCTGGAAAAAAAAAAATCCAAGTAATTTGCAGAAATTAGCTTAGATGTCATTAAAGAAGAGGACTCAGATAATGTTCCATATTTACATAGAAGCCACCAGTTCCAGGTGCTACCCAATGAAGACATAAAGTTTTTTGATGCTAATACCAACCTGAGAAGTTTAGATGGGCCAGTTCACTGGAGACTGCAATGCACTGTTGCTTCTAGTATTGCTTTTGTGGGCTATGAGTCCTCTTGCCTAGATTTCAGTTCAATCCTAAGCAGCCTTCTGGTGTTCCAGGATAAGGACCAATACCTCGTGTCTCACTTTCCCCAAATTCTGAGTCTTCTCTCCTCATCCCCTCGTTACCTACTTGTCTTTTAAACTCTCATGTAGTTCACCAATCTTCAGTCTTTTCTAGACTATTCAATAGTCTACTGTAAAACACCAATGTAGACATTTTGTTTCCTGCAAAAAGGGCCAAGAGTCACAGAGTTTGTACACAAAGACACTTTAATGCAAATCAAATAGTACTGTTTCATTCTAAGGTGCTCCACATTCTCAAACACCCAACACTGAGCTTCCCAGTTTTACCATTCCATTGAGAAATTCACTTTTAGTCTAAAGAGCAGAAATTTTAAAAGACAACTCTTTAATTTTTACTTTTTTTTTTATTTAATCAATACAGTATTTCAATACCAACTGTTAAATCTTCATGAGCAACAGGAGCATATTCTGCAAATTTGTTGATCACTATATAGTACAACCTCAAAACTCTTATCCAAAACCCATGTATTCCAAAATTAGGTTTCCTCCCTCAACATGCAACATTTTAATAAAAAAGTCCTGACTTACTCAAAAAAAATCCACTATGCAGTTATATAAACTCAGATCTTTTGACAACCCCTCTGGCTTATGAAGACATAGGTTTATATAAAGAAGCTTCAAAAGAAAATGAAAAATGAATATTATTTTGCTGAAATTTCCAAAGGATTCTAACAATTCCATTACCATAGCAGTACATATACATAAAGACACTGCGCCCAGTAATATAGTATTTCTGAAGGACTATAATTGTTCTCTGCAAAAGGCTGTGGCATGTTATATTGTGACTATATCAGAAACTACTGTGCAGCCATTCCATTTTATTTAAGCATTCATAATTAGGAAAGTATCTCTGTTGAAATTATATTTATTAAAAAAAATAAATCTTACTTTAGATTACTAAAAAAGTGCACATTATGTAAGTGCAGGCTCCATTTCACCATTTCTACTCCATGTTTGTTCTACATTTTTCTTCCAATTCCCAGTTTTTCATAATATGCTGCAAGGCTTGGACTGCAGAAACAAAGGCTATATTTGCCTTTAATCAAAATACTGGTTTTAAAGATGTTTTCATATGACCAACACATTTCAGGCAATCTCAAGTATTTCAAAACATTCTTTACCTTCCTACAGAATCAAAAACTCCACCACTAAGTCGGGGCCTTTAAAAAATAATCTGAAAGGCGTACACACAGTATTTCAAGAAAGCAGAGCAGCTATAAAGTTGAAAATGGCAACATAGACATTTTAAACATTAAAAAAAATCCTCCTACATTCTGCATGAGGCCTCTGGACACAAAGACATTGTGCATTTCACATGTTTTTTTAGCCTCATATTTGTAAGTAGAGAGGCAAATTTTCAGAAGGATTTCTTATTTAGCTAACAGAAAAAGAAATCACATTGTAAATGCAGTGCTGTTGCTGCCTTGATTCTCTCATATCATGGCAAGTACCAAACTTCTTGTCCTTGCTTACAAGGTTCATGTTTATACTCAGTGTCATTGTTGATGACTGATATATGTTGGCTGGTTTTAAAATAAGTAACTTGGGAAGATTGATAAAGAAGTACAGAGCTCTGATTTGTTGTGGATATACTGTTTCGGTTTACAGAGGAATGTGTCATCTTCGCTCACAGCCAGTGAAAAATATTTTAATTCAACAGAAAGCATGGAATTGCATGATATTGTGATGAGGAGTTTCACAATTCCTACAAAAATTTAAATCATTATGCCCAAACCCAGCAGGAGGAACACAACTTGAGCACATCTTCCATCCACACTCTCAGTCAAAATTCACAGGTAAATCCTGCATCCATCTCTGGAGAACACCTTGAGGGACAGATGAAGAGAGAGCAGGTAAAAGCTAAGGTGCAATACCTGGTGTGCAGTTTCTCTGTGCACTGTGGGCAGTGTAGGAGAGAGGATGTCTCCCTGAAGCTGCATGCTGAACTGCTGAAGGACAGAGCAGAAGTTGTTCCAGCCATCAGTCTCCTCCAGGCCTTACCCACCCCAAGGCTGGGCTGTTGTAGCCTGGGGAATGGCTCTGCTGGGCAGAGGTGGAAGATTATTTCCAGTGTATCCAGAGGAAGCACCTCAGCTTGGAGCTGCAAAGGATTCTTTCTTACCTTGGCTATTTGATGCAAAAGATAATGGTACCAGGCAGCTGGCTGCTGACAGGGAGCTGTGTTACCAGTCTCTCTCTCCTCAGAGGGAAAGAACAAAAAATGACTCCACATCAGACTATTACAGATACTAATACTTTTTGTCAAAAGCAGGAACACACAGATTCTACAAAATACTGTCTAGACATGAGCACACTGACTAAAAGAAATCATTTGAGTACAGGCTTAATAAGGCAGGGTAAAAAAAATCTACCACCAGCTAACAACACTTGGAAAATGAGTCTGCTGTGTGTGATTTCAGTGATGTCTGAGGGAGACAAAGCTCATTATGTTCATGTTTTTCATACTTTCAGTCAAAGAGATTGCTGAATAATCATGTTCTCTTTATTCTAATGGGTGAGGAAGCTATTATACAGAAGGTGTTTCCATATGTTGCAGTTAATAAAGGCAATTCTTACAAATAAGAGTAGGTTGTCTCCATTCAGCTATCTGATAAAAAGCCATCCTGTTTAGAGGAAAATGCAGATTCGGTGCCTAGAAGACTTCTAGAGCTGCACATTTCAATGGCTACTGGAAAGTACTGTAGGTAGATGAATCCCAGGTCTTCTCCAACTGAATCTGAATCAATGACATTCACTAAAAAGTTCAGGGCACTAGGAGCAAGCACTCCATTCATCAACCTCTCCTTGTATCCACCCTTTTCTTGCTGGTGAAGGACAGTGGACAAGATCTGGATCCATCATTATGGAAAATCATCAGCAAGTCCCTTCAAGAGGTCCGAGTATTTTCTTCTTTGAGAAAGCATCTGGGTCATTGTCTTAGGAGCTCAAAAAATCTTACACGGAGAGTATGGCTAGTTTTAGGCTGAGATCACAGATGCTCTTTCAGACTGAAACAATAAAATGCATGGGGGGAAATAATTTTTGGGGGATCACCCAGAAGCATGAGACGTCACTTACATCCTTGTCTTTCTAACCACAAAGCTGGGTGCATGCCCACAACTGGATGAAAGCCTCACATCTGTACTATGCTGTTGGAGCTATCTGGTAAACAGAGAGAGAAAAAAAAAAGTGTTGAAGCTCATCTCAGTTTGCTATGATGTGTTCAGTGTCTGACCACATCTTTAAAGCCATATGGAATCCAATCCTGTTGAAGGACAACTTGCCTCAGATGATTGATATATCCCAACTAGGTTCACACAGCAGTGCTCCACACTGGATTTCTCTGGATTTCAAAGTAGGGCAGGGATTGTTCACCTGTAAGTACCTGAGTAGAAATAAAAGACCTGCCTCTGTTGCCATTCCCACCTTCAGGGAGACTGACAGTTTCCTACAAGAAGTTACAAAAGGCACATCATCTCTCCATGGTAAGTATCCACCTGTAGCCTTACATTTATGAATTCAAAGCATTCTGCAAGACCTCTTTATCCAGACATATAAAAATGTAGAAATTATTTTGTGGAGAGACATTACTAATAGGAAATAAACTGTTTCTTCATGTCTTCTGGGTATGGTGTTCTGCTGGTTTTCACTATTCAGAATAGGCTTCAAGAAATGCAAAAAAAAAAAAAAAAAACCAAAGAAATAGGCAGATGTTTTCAAATACAGAGGCAATGGGACCAGTTCCTACACATGCACCTAGTCTGGCTGGATATTTACTGTCACACATAATACTTTCCAGGATTTAAACACAGCTAATATGGCCAACATTTTCAAAATTGGACACTAATGATGGACATTTCCTAATTCAGTCCAAGTTTCAGAACTGCTGAACAATACCTTGTCCTTGTGGACATTCAGTATAGAAAATCAAATCCAAGGCGACTCAAGCCAATACTGAAAAATATGAACACTCCAAGTTTGCAGTTCTGTTTGAAAATGCAACACCTCAAGGCTAAATCCCATTTTAAAGACACTGCAATGATTTTGAAAGCTGCATATTTTTTGTTGAGCCACAAGAAGGTATAGAAAAATGTGATGGGTGGACTCTGCATCCATTCAGTGGGAGCAGTGCAAACAGCCCCTCCCTGACCAGCCAACACCCTTGTCTGGGAACAGAGGGAATCCAGGATAGGCCTGTACAGTGAACCAGAAGTAGCCCTGGCAGAGATGAGGGAAAAGAAGGGCTGCTGTTGGATCCTGCCCAGAAAACAGAACCCGGCCACAATATATCCACGCAACGTTTCTGTCACAGAGATTTGGGAAGTCCTGTTACGTCTGGATTCACAATTAGACATGATTTTGACACTATTATGGTGCTGATGCTTTTATATCTTCAGTGTATGATGGGTCCTGGCTCTGTTGGGGCCTGCCTATTGTTCATGAGAGACTTTGTCTTTGCAAGGATCGGAGAACAAGGTGTTCTGGAAGCTCTTTTCAGCTGTGACCTGGTGAACTTCTTACGGATTTTTCTGTAAGGAGGGAAGGAGGAAAGGAGGGGAGGAAGAGAGAGACAACAGAAGAGATAAATCTCAGTCTTTAACAGAAGACTGCACAAGAGCCAATAACAAACATAACAAATACTCTTACCAGAGCAGGGAGGCTAGTTCATGGAAAAGAGACTTGCAGTCAACAAGAGTCAGCCCTGTCCAGCAACTGATGATTCAGACTTGTCTGATAATGGTTCATCGAAAAGTGAATTGGTGTTAGATAATACTTGAATAATAATATTTGATTACATGAAATCTTGGGCCAGAATGCCCAGGTAGTGAACCCTCACATGTGATATCGGTAGTGGAATGAAGGAACACAGAAGGACTGTGTTAGCACCCAATGAACATGCTACCTCTGTAAAAGTGAGAGCAATTGTTGTTATTTACACTGTACCACTTCCACAGATAACACATGACCTGGAGCTCCGGGCATTTTTACTAGGGCCATTCAGGTGCAGTAAATTCATTTTCACCTTTGACTTTCAGCTGATAAATGAAACATATTAACTCCAGGTAGCCATGTTGTTTGTATTGTAATCCTAACTATCCAAGGATAGTTAATTTTGAAGCATAAATACTTGCTATGTTTCAACTGCTCTGTCTCTTTACTAGTATAAGTCAATAACCACAATGCTGAGGGTATTGAGAGTATGGTATCAGAAAAGGTACACACAGAGTATGCCAAGAACCATCTTCATTGGCAGAGACCTGAACATTAGATGCTGCTGGAAAATGACCTATTTTCTCAATTTACTGAAGAATCCCAGCCTTTGTTTCGGTAGTTTTACAAATTATAAGGATTTTGAGCTTATGGAAATGAATTAAAGCAAACTGAGGCCTCTAATACTTAATGACACCAGGCTTTCTAATTCAAACTTTTTGACTTGAAAATGTGACCTACAAACTACAGGGTGATGAGGTGCCTACCTGCATCAAGGTTCTGAGATGATAACTCAAGGAGTGGCTTTTCCCTTTCATCTAAGTGGGCTGTTACCTCTGAAACTGAAAAATGGTGGCACATGACATTGAAAATACATGATCAGCTGTAAATAAATTCTATTGAATTCTAAAATAGCGATTGGTATATTAAATTTAAAACATTAGTTTGTTACTAGTTAGTTACAGGTTGAGTGGTCCCCAGGGATGTGAGCTTCCATGTTAACTGGGCCACAGAAGAGAACATAAGGGGAAAAAAACCCAAACATGCAAAAAGCAGAAGAATGTACTCTGCCATTAGAAGTTAAAGGGAGCATGAAAAAATAGATCTGTTTTGGTTAATATATTTTAAAGGTTCAGAGATGCATTCTGTTTTGAAAGAAGGATATCTTCATGTCCTGGAATACCAAATTAGGCTTTAGCACCATTCAGCAATAAGCAAAACAGAAGAAAAGAAAAGGAATCACCAGAAAGTTCGATTTCAGCTTTTCACACAATGCCACTGAGGAAAAAAAATTTATTGCTTGAGTATTTGCTTTATATGGTCATCTTAAATTAGGCAAAAAAAAATATTTAATTGATTGCAAAGATACTGCATATCTTCCAGAATGGTAAAAGCTTAGAAATGTAATCTTAGACTGGCAGAAATGTGTCTATCTAAAATAATGAGATAGCCAGGCTTTATGAATTCATGTGAATAGACAATAGCTGTTACCCACACTGATCACTAAGGGGGACCATCTCCACAAAACCTTACAGAAGTATTTGTTTGCAAAACTTTATTTACAGAAGGAATGTGGTCATTAATCATTTGAGAAGTGCAAGGTTCAAGTAATATCCGATCATTGCTTACCCTACTGAATTTGTAATAAGGCAACTTTATAAACTGCCTAGAGGTTCCTGCTTATGAAAGTAATTTGCAGCTGGCACTACATGTAAGGATAGTAAAGAATTTGAGATTACTGTCCATACAAAATAATGACAAATTGTAAAGTAAAAGATACGGGTATTCCCATTAACCACTATTTCAAAACCAACACAAAGAAAGGCAGAACAAAAAGGTCATTACATTATTATATCAAGCAAGCCACAAACAGAGTAAACGCCTCACTGAGTATAAAAGAAACTAGCACTATATACTGTCAGAAAAAACTAATCTGCTAGGCACTCTTAAAAGGCAATCCAGCACTTCTGCTTAAACAGAATTGTGAAAATACTTCCAGAAATTATCTTTCTGGGATACAGCCTTTCAGAAATAAAACTGGAAGAATGGAAATTTCCACTGACTGCATTACATGCAGTCATACATATATACATATTTAAACAATCATTTTTTAAAAGCCAAAACTGTTCTTTTTAGTGCAAAAATTATAGAAGAATTTAGCATCTAAATACAGTCTAGCCTTTTGAGACACATTCATCAGGTTTCATAATTCTTCAGAGTCTTTTTAACACTTGAACATGCAGGTTGCCATAATAGCTGACAAAAGACAGGATATTCAAAGATAAAATTGTTGTCACCCTTTCACTCACAGCACATTGCCCTCCCTCAAAGATACACTGAACTAAGGGCAGAGTCAATTTTAATGCTCAATTTCCTGTCCCTCTTTCAGTTAATACCAGCCATATGTTTTAATTACATCAAGCTTTTATCTGGCAATGGCAATAAATGGCTTTAATATCTGTATCGTTGGTAACATCCTTTGCAGTTGTTAGGACAGATTAATTGCCATTTCCCCCTTTTTTTTTTTTTTGCTTTGACTTTTGTACTAGTTCTTGAAGCATAATGCATTACAGGCTTGAAATGTTAATTCAAAAGTATTTTAAAGCATTTGCTTTGAATTTCCAGTCTTCTTGAGACCAAAGGTATGAGAATGAGCTAAACATTTAATAGGGAATCAGTATATAAAGCCCACTGTGCTAATTTTGAGGTAAAATGTGATGCACTGGTGTAATGTAGGAATAATACACATTTTTTATGTCTGCATGACACTTCATATAGTAACTGCAGATAAAGATACACAAAACCCTTGGCACATAGGGAAATATGGAAATGTACATAAGTCTTACTAGAGGTCTAGATGAAAACCTAATGACACTGTTCAAGTTTCATACACAGACTGGAACCTCAGGGGTAGAAATAATAGTTAGGCTGTACAGGGCATTTATGCCATGCTTAAATTTAATTGGGAGAGTCATCATAATTAACCAGCCCTTTCTCAGGATCCAAGCATGTTCCATGTAACTCACCATCTGCTGAAGTGAAGCACAATCCTATATAATCTATTCTGTCCAGATTTCTCAGGAATAGGATAACTGGGAGCAAAATTTCACATTTGCAAAAGCTGACTCAAAGTTCCCTTCTCTAATTCTGCCACACACTACAACAGCATCAATTTTTAAACTTGAGTCGAATAAAGAGAGGCCTCCAACTGGCATTAGTCAAGACTGTGTTTTCAAGCCTTTTCTAGTAGGACTGGAAGGCATTGCCTGCTTTAAGTTTGTTGATACAGACTGTTACTGTGTGCTAAATATAAACTGTTGTGCATCCATGTTGCCTCCTCTGCACTGGACTCAGAGTTGTGATGACTGCACTGACTTTGGTCTTAGCAACTGTACCAACAGGACTTAAGAAGCAATATTAAATAAATACAAGTTATGCAAGAAGTTACACAGTGAAAGAAATTATTTGCATGCAAATACCTGTTGATATTTCAGCAGATGACAAACCTTGTTTTGAAAGAAACCTTTTCCGAGGAAGAGGAATTGCCTTCAACATACATGCACTTGCGAGATGCCCATAACTCTTCTTAAATATCAGGGTCCAGAATTGCTTTTGGTGCTCTGTTTCCACTAAAAATACACTATTACCTAATACAAACCTGGCTACAGAGTCTGAAACTCAAAGACACAGTTTTGTTTTCCTCACTGTCCCTAAATTAGTTCAATGTTTTTGCCTGAGTCTTTCTTAGACTGATGCCATTTGAGCAACATCCTCATATGTAAGGACTGGTGCTGTGGAAATGTATTGTTATCCAATTGCTGGTAGCACAAGGAACACCTCCAGGTCAGCAGCAGGCATAAGAAAACTGATTTCCTGCACAATCATAGTTGAAATTCCATATAATCTCTCGATTGGGGTGAAGTATTCTGCTACGACTTTCCAAGTGTAAACAGCAACATAAATGTGCTAGATGCATAAATACTGCCAACGCTGGCAGAATTTTGTGTTCTGGCACAAATTATGTGTGAAACTTGCAATCAGTCTAACCACAGAGCCATTCAGAAAGAAAACAAGGAAGAAAACATATTCTAGAGAAATGTTTGTGAAGTTGCTGCTGCTCCAGCGCAATATGAATTTTGTACAATACAAATTTTCGGTGCAAATTCAAGGCCACTTAGAAAAAACAAGTATTTAAAAGAATAACCATAATTCCTTGGTGGTTATTAGATTAAATAATCATTTATTTCTCTGAGGGCTTCTTTTATCCAGAGGTATATTTTAACTATTCAGTGAATTACATTACAGGAGGGGGTACTATCCTAGAAAGCTGATAGGCTTTTTATTAATTTCAACAGGTTTTAAACATAGTGAAATGCCAAAATGTGTGCAGTGCTGCCTGCTGAAAGAGAATTTAACTGGGATGAAGCTGTAGGCACAGATCCTTAGAAACCTGACATGTTACTGACTGAAGGACTCACGGCACTTCCTACATTTCTACCTGTGTGCAAATGAGAAGTATTTCATTTAACTCTTTGGCTTGCTGCTTTAGATTTTGTTTTCCCCCTCAACACTTTCAGGATGAAGCTTTCCCATATTGCATTCAAATTTTAATTGAACCTCAACATGACAGAAACAAGTTAAAAATAGTTTTAGAAGGCAGGAGTGGGTTGACACTGATACACCTTTTAAAAATAAGGGCCTTAGGAAATGGTAATTTATAAAAACAAAAGGGAAGACTTTAATAAGGATGGGACTATTGGAAGGCTGTTGCCATGAGCCACATAGCTGAATTATAAAACCCATACAGATGGCAGATAGA